TGTCTTTGTATGTTCTGTCCCCAGCCCCACCTCCCAGGGGCCGTCAATAAATGTGATGATGAGGATGACGATGCTGCCCGACTTGTCTCTGCTCCTTCAACCAGCCACTCTACTGTTGCAGCCTCCACACTTGACCTCCTGCACTTCCTCCTCTTGAGATGCCCTCCCTTCCTCTCTGCCCAGCCAAAGCCTGGCTGTCCTTCAGGTCCTGCACTGCAGCTACCTCTTCCATGAAGCCTTCTCTGATTACCAACTCCGTGGGAATCTTTCCTACTCTTAACTTCCCAGCACTTGTGGCCAGAAGCATACTCTGCTCCATACTGTTCTCCAACTGCCCATCTATATGCACCTTCTCTTTCTGGGTTGCCTGTAAGCCCAATTGGGATGGTACTTGCTCCTGCTCTGGCCTGCCAAATGACCACTCCACTGAGGGCTGGAGGGGCTTCTATGAGGCTGAAGGTTGTTTTCAGCTAGGGTGAATACTAGGTAGCTACCTTGGCTGATGAGGCTGGGACAAGAAGTGGGGAGAGCAGGAACAGGCCCTGGATCAGCTTAGGTCAAGTCTAATGAGATGGAGCTTGGTAGGGAAGCACGGATAGTCCTACAAACAGAAGGGGGGCGGAGTGCTGTAGAAGCTAATGTGATCTTGGTTCATGTTAATAGAGACAGAACCATCCAGAAAGAGGATAGTATTGGCTTGGCTCTACTTTTCACTGAAATTTTACACTGTAAGAGGAACCCTCCCCAAACTACCACCTTTGGTCTCCTTAGCATGTCCCTAATATGCACGGTGGAAAAGGAGTTTGGGACTAAATCCCAAATAGTTGGGGGATGAATAGTTGGGGGATCTGTCTGAGATCCGTGTGATGGTTGGCCTCCAAACCCACAAGGGCTAGAAATGTAGAGTCAGAGGTCAGAGTCAAGACCAAAGGGTGAAAACCATAGGAAGGATGGGATCTGTCCACAAAGATGTATAAGCAGTGCCTGAGTGACTGCTTGATGGCAGCTGTAGAGATTGAAGCAATGCTTGGAGGGACTGGCCCATTTGAACTTTCCAGAGCTCTCTCAAGTCCAGACAGTCAGATGTACCCCTGCTAGGGATGCAATCAGAGCATGCACGGATAGTGCCCACCTGAGCAGCTCTACCCCACTCTGGTTCTCCTACTGTCCTCACTGCTAGCACTTGAGCTGCTGGAGGTTGAGGGACACCAGAACCACAGGGTACTTGCCTGAGATGAGAGAAGACTGAACAGCTTTGTTAGATCTCCCACATTCTCAGCACAGATGAGGGTAGGTTGGGCCCCTCTTGTCCTGGCTTTCCACTCCCAGTCCCTGCTTCCAGGGTTGTGGTGTATAACCAAAAGGAGAAAAAGTTGAGATTGGGGGTGTCTAAACCTTCCTCCATCATCGTGAATTGGGGAGCAGCCTCTGGAAGGGAGAGGCTAATGTCCACAGCCTAGTAGTTCAGCCTCCCCTCTCCAGGGCAGGTAAGAAGAAAAAGGAATGACCCCAAGGGAGGGACTAGGAAGGGGAAAAAACTGTTTCCAAGGGAACCAGAGGATATCCTTCAGAAGGTCTTACACACCACTCACCCTCCTCAAATAGCTGAAACTGTTTTAGAAAGGGTAAGGAACAAGGCCCTGTAGTATTCAGCTCCAGCATAAAAAAGACTTGAGGTAGGTGGGTACAGATACTGACAGAGTGGAGTGGGCTGTTCTGGGCTATGGGCAAGTTGTTGAGTTGGATGGTTAATAAACTTCATTAACCCGCATGCTTTAAGGTACATGGAATGTTCTGGAAGGTTCCAGACAGTCTGGGCTCTCTCTGGTGCCTAACAAATTCTGGAACTTTCTGTTTCCAAGTTGCAGGACCCCAGGAAACATCCCTGGCTGCAATGCTCTGAGAGAACAAACTTGTACATCAAGGAGCCCCTGAGAAAGGTCCCACCTATTACCAACCACCAGTGTTTTTACAAACCCAAACCAAAAAGTTGTCCAAGTAACAAAACTTCTAACCCTTTTTGATAAAAATAAGGAGTTCCTGCCCTTCAAGAAAGTTTGTTATGTCCACATCTTGTTCAGGAATCACTAGCTTGAGTGTTTTCCTGTTTCCCCCCTTGTTTCTCAAATATAAAACATAATTTGTGGGGGTGGGGGCGGCAATCAAGACCTACCGACCCAAGCAAGCCTGAACCAGAGTGGGCTCAAATCTTTACCACTGAATTGTGATGTGGTCACTGCAAAGCCAGGGCTAACAACTTACCCCTGACCTCACCTCCAAGGTTAGAATCAAACGGTTTGAGATCAAGTTAGAGTAGGTGTTGGTTTCTCCCAATTTATACAAGGATTTTACACAAAAGAATTGATGCAGGAATTGATGGTGTAAGAACTGATGTTACTATATGTACCAAAGGACTTCTGGCTTTGTCCAGGACCTTGCCATTGCTGTAGACTTCTCAAAAGATCTTTCTTGTCCCACAATGAAATAAGCTTTACACTCTCCTTCCCTGGTTAAAAGTGTGAGCTCTCATAATATATGATGTAGCCTAGAGGATCTGCAAACTCAAATGTCTGCAGGGGCTAGGAAGGTCACAGACATGCAAAGCAGTCCATTTCTACAAATAAATATTTCCTTTCTCATTTTTTTTTTGAAAATGCATGGTCCCTTTTTTTCTGTTCTTGACAGACACAGGGCATAGAGAGAGATTTCTCTATTATGAGAAAAATGGCCAATTGTGTAGACCACCTCCCCTCTGTTGGTGGGAGCATGGTGAACTAGGAGCCATGTCCTCTTTAAAAGGCAGATGTTAACAGCTTCTCCCAGGTGGTAGTACGAGTGTGTGAGTGAATACGCTGGCATGTTTTCTCATTTTTTGAGAGAAGTCAGAAATCTAGACTTTTATACAGTCTCCCAAATTTTGAAAGTTGGCTGAAGTTTTTGAAGACACTGTGCCAGCCATGGCCAAACACTGTGTGCAGGTTGGCTGTGTGGCCCCTGGGACCATGAATCTCAGCCCATTCTTGGTCCTCCTGAAACAGGTCTTCTCTTGTCCACTCCCAGAACTGAGAGTGTGAATGCTGAAGGGGCAAAAGCAGGATGGGAGGGCGAGCGCACCTCAAGTCTAGTTAGAGGACCCCAGGTTCAGACAACTTTAAGAGATAGTATTGAGGGGATGCCTGGGTGGCTCAGCAGTTGAGCCTCTGCCTTTAACTCAGGGCAGGATCCTGGAAGTCTGGAATTGAGTCCTGCATTGGGCTCCCTGCAAGGAGCCTGCTTCTCCCTCTGCCTATGTCTCTGTCTCCCTGTCGCTCATGAAAAAAATAAACATAAGCTTAAAAAAAAGACAAAAAAAAAAAAAAAAAGAGAGAGAGAGAGATAGTGGTGAGATTGAGAGTGATGCTATGATCTCACAGCAAACTGTAAAGAGGACCTGCTTCTTAGGGATGATGGCACTGGGTGTTCTCAGTATATGCAAGTTCCCCTGAGGACAAGACTCAGGTCTGTCATCCTCACAAAGTAACTGCTCTGCCCAAGCTGGGCCTAAGAACCAAAAGTACTGAAGGTAGGCAAGGCAGGCCTTCTCCTATGATCCTGATCATAGGCAGGTGGCAGTGTGTGCCCTTGTCACAAGACTGAGGAATTGAGAGGAGGCAAAGACCAGGATAGAGCCCATTCTAGTGCACTATTCAAATTCAAGGCAGTGGATTGAAGAACCACCACCACTTATTAGCTGTCCTGTCTCTCAGCCTCTCTTCCTGGGATCTGGTGACCTTCCAGGAAGGCCTAAGATATACTACCCCCACCCTCCTGCCATTTCCCCAAAAGGAAGTGTGGTGGCCACTCACTTGGGCTCCATCCTTGTGCCTCAGCTTGTGACCATAAAGAATATACATATATATAAGGGACCCTAATGAATATATGTATGTATATGTTATAAATTATACACACACACACACTCATATATAGTGCCCAAATAGATGGACAACTCATTAGTCTAAGGTACGCTACTCTTTTTTTTTTTTTCTTAAATATTTTATTTATTCATGAGAGAGAGAGAGACAGGCAGAGGGAGAAGCAGGCTCCATGCAGGGAGCCCAATATGGGACTCAATCCCGAGTCTCTAGGATCAGGCCCTGGGCTGAAGGCTGCGCTAAACTGAGCCCGAGCTGAGCCACCTGGGCTGCCCAAAGGTAGGCTATTCTTAACTGATCTTGGCTCATGCTAGCATTAAGGAAGGCAAGGTGCACTGACTGAATAAAATGCCAGAACCTTAGAAGGGAAGCACGAAATCCTACTCAGTGCTGAGATCTGTAAAGGATCATTTCACCCAGGAATAAACAAAGGGCAACAAAGGGCAAAGTTGGCTCAGGAGGAATAAAGTCCTGATCAAGTCCAAAGACAGTATATCACAATTGCCTATACAAGCACACATTTGACTGCTGTCTTATTGTCCATCTCTCCCCATTAGGACTTGTGTGTGCTGCTCACTCAGCCTCATACTGTACTTGCAACCCCATTCTCACCACAATACAGCCCAAGGCAGGCTCTTATCCTTCTTGGTCTGAGGTCCAACTTTCAAGGAAGTTTTGGTTTAGTCTGTGATCAAAAGGAGAAAAAGGACTAAAGTTGAACATGTCCGAGCCTTCCTCCACTATCAGGAATTGGGCAGCAGCCCTTAGAAGTCAGGGGATAATGTCTATGGCCTGGTTCAGCCTCTCCTTCCCAGGGCAAGTGAGAAACAGAGAGGAACAACCTGAGGCAATCTTGGGGGGTGGGGGATAGTTGGGAAGGGAGAATACCATGGGAACCAGTTTAGAGGTCCTTCAACATCTCCTCTTCCAAAAAGAGCCCAGGTTCTGTTTCAAGGAGAGTAGTGAGTGGGAACTTAAAGAGTTCAGCTCTGGACTGGAAAACAAACAAACAAACAAACAAACAACCTGAGGCAGGCAGGATGGCACTATAAGAATAGCTTGGTTCTAGGCCTAAAAAGAGGCTTACAATTGGATGATTAATAAACTTTATTGACTACCCAGATTAAAGTAGCATGGAATGTTCCAGAAGCTTCACAGAGTCTTCCCACTCCCACAACCTTCTGGAACTTTCTATCTACCTCTATGTTCTGGGGCCCCAGGGAATGTTCTTGCCTTTGATATTCACTGCAAGAAAACAAACTTGAGGCAGCTACATCAAGGAGCCCATTAGAATACCACTATTATATACCAATAGTGCTTTTACAACCAAACCCCGCTAAGAACCCCAATCGTTTTTGATAGAAATTCTCATAGAATCCTGCCCCAAGGACACTGCTGTGCACCCAGCTGCTTGGTTGAGATTCAGGTTTCTGTACCTTTTACAGGGCTGAACACTTCCTGTTGTTTGTATTTCAAAAAGAACTTGCTTTCCAAATATGAAACATAGTAACATTAAATGTTCTTTTTAAAAGTACATATGCCCCTCCCCCCAAGTCAAGGCTAGCTGAGCCACCAAGTCCGAATCCAAAGTGGGCTCAAATCTTTACCACTGAATTGTATGGTCACTGAAAGTACTAAGAGTTTGCCCCGGACCTACTAGGCTAGAATCAAATTGTTTCCAAGACACGAGGCTGAACTAGCTGTGGCGTTATCCTAATTACAAGGATTTCACAAGAGCCGGAATTCTTATTAATATACCAAAGCACCTCTGGGTTTGTTTAGAACCTACACTTCTGTCCTCACTCTTGTGGTAGATCTCTTGCAAAGGTTTTCCTATTTGTACAGCTTTACACTTAGCCGTAGGGCATAAATGCCTGAGCAGCTAAATCTCACAGCCAACATGTACACCATGTGCAAGGACACAGAGTGGAGAGCCTGACTACTACTGCTCCAGCCAAGTGACGACCAACTGCTTAGCTTGACTTAGAAACTGAGAGAGAAAAAAGCTTCAGCCAGGGCTCTGAATAAAGAACCAGGCTTCCAGCACATTCCTCCAGTCCCTTAGAAGTACCATTTACTCCAAACTCAAGCAGCCAGGTTTCGAGGACTTGCCATGTGGGGCTAAACAAAAGGACAGGCCACATTCCCAGTTTGTTGACCTCAAACTCCCAGTTTTTTGCTGCTTCTGGGAGGGGATGGGCTGCACAGTTAGTGATGGGCCTGGCTAGCAGAGCAGTGACTAGGAGACAGGCCTACTCTACTGCCTCAAAGATAAACCTGCTTTGCTAACATCATGTTTTAATCACTGAGCCCATTAGGATTATGGATAGTAAAGTGTGACAGACCTCAAGGGAGCAAATGATTTGTTCCTTTGCTGCCATGCCCACAGTAGTAGTTTCTCTGAGGTCATGCATTAGATAAGTACAAGCACAGGAACAGCCCCTTCCTTACGTGGGGTGACCTTGCTTTCCCACTCCCACATGCCACCAGCAGAAGGGGGAGTGGGGTCTGGGGCTGATCACACAAGAATGGCCAGGTTTCCAAAGATCATATTCTTACCCTACACCAGGTCTCACCTGTGGCTGGGGAACTCACAGAAAGACAAGGTTCGTACAACCCCAGAATTTTTCTTTTGGCAGCCAACAATTGGTCACATTGCACGGTTCAAGGTTACACAGGAGCCCCACGGTACAAACGTGGGGCGGGAGCAGACCATTCTTGCTCAGAGCTTTACAATAGAGCCAGAGCAAGTGTTCCAGAAGTTGACAACTTCAGGAAGGCAACCTCTGGAAGCAGGCAACCAAGGGACTCCAGAAAACCCTCCACTCTCGGGATTTCGGGACTCTTCTTCTTGGGGCCTGTTTCTCTGCCACTGAAACGCCTTCTTTTCCGGGCCGTAGGGGAGGGACGCGCAGGTGGATGGCTAAGCCTGGCGGGCGGGGACGAGGAAGGAAGAGCATCAGTTCCTTCGGACCCCAGCAGAGGTAGACTATGGAAGGCAAGGGGTTCAAGAAGACAGGAAAGGCCATTTTCTTGGGGCCAGCTGGGGGCTGCTCCCCTTCCTCCCATCTCTGATTAGAAACGAAAGCCCAGGATGATGAAGGCCGTGAGGAGAAGGAACACAAAAGTCGTGTCTCGGGTCTCGTCCCAGCGGAAGCCCTTCTTGGCCCGCTCCTCCTGCTGCCTGCGCAGGGCCTCTCGCCGGGCCCTCTGGCGCCGCTCGCGCTCCAGCTGCTCCCCGTAGTGCGCTTGGTAAAAGGCGTCGAAGTCGAACATGGTGCGGCTGGCGCCGGTCGCGGCCTGACCGGGGCCGTGGGCTCGAGAGGCAGGTGGCGGGGCGCGCGGCGAGCCGGCGTCGCCGGCGGGCGCCCTGGAGGGCCGGACACCAGGTCCGCGCAGGTCCTCGTCGCTGAGCAAGCCGCGGTCATACTTGCGACGCAGAGTGGCACTGCCCAGCACCACGTAGGCCTGAGAGATGCGCGTGAAGCGCTCGGCAGCTTCGGCGCTCCCCGAGTTGCGATCCGGGTGGTACAGGAAGCTCTGCCGGTAGTAGGCCGCCTTGATTTGCGCTTGCGTGGCCGTGGAGGGGACGCCGAGCAGCTCATAGAGCGCCGTGCGCGAGTATGGTCTGTCGCCCTGGGAATAAGTCCTCACATCTATGCCCAGGCCGGATCCCGGGTTCTGTGGAGCGCTCGGCAGCAGCCACAACCTCCACAGTAACTGCCGCGACCACCTCAGACCGCGCTTGGCTGCCATCTTGAAAGGACGCCATGCGGGCGGTGCAAGACGAACTGGCCAATGGGAGGCGCGTGTTGGTCGCAGCGCGTTGGCCCTGTAGCCAATCGAGTAAGGCAGGAGGCGGGGAGAGGGGCGGAGCATGCGTGCTAAGAGGCGGGCGTGGGACCGATGGCATAAAAGCCGGGCTCCTGGCTCTGTCGCCTCAGTCTCCAGGCGGTGGCGTGGAGATGGCGTTCCGCGGCAGGAGGCCGGAGCACGGCGGGCCCCCGGAGCTGGTGAGGCTTTGGCTCTGGCTCACCTCTCTCCCCGCCTGTGGTGTGTGCTGCCGCGTCTTGATTCCTCCTCTACCGCTGTTGTCTTTTTTTTCCCCGCAGTTTTACGACAAGAATGAAGCCCGGAAATACGTGCGCAAGTAAGGGGAGCCTGCATGTTGCCGGGTGTCGGGGGTGGGGTGGGGGCGGCGGTAAGGGATTCGGGAACCGACAAGTTGACTTAACAGCGGGCATTGCTTGGAAAGCACGCGGAATTTGGGGGGGGGGTAAGGAAGGGACGAGGACTGACTGACTGCAGTTCTAAAGTGGGAAGGTCAGCGTCAAGCAAACCTCGAACGCTTTGGGCCTCAGTAAACTTGGAATTAAAATGGGGGTGGAGCGTACCTATTTTCTCTAGGTGGTGGTCAAACAAATTTCAAAATAATTTGTTTAAGCTTGTGGTAAAATCGGCGGGGGGCCGTGGATGCGTGTAAGGGGTCAGTGCTTTTGCGGGGAAGGAGCGCGTACTCCCAGAATGCCGCACGTTACTAAGTTCGCGTGAGAACTGTTGGTGTAGGATTTGTATTTCAGAGGGTAGTTGTGCCACTGTAAAGTCATTTAACAAATGATGGCTGGCACAGGGACTTCCAAGCCTTCCCTTTCTTATACACTAGTCTAGATATAACTGTTCTCTTTCTTTCCATTCAAATTAGAGTCCAAGACCAAGCCAGCCAGCAGAAATCTCTGGCTCAATTGTCATTATGTCTCCTCTCCGTAAAAACTTTTTTCCAGCTGCAGAGCTCTGCGTGATTTTTTCTCTTGATCTTGGGGTAGATAGGACTACCCCAAAATAGACCTGTTCTTATTAGATGTAGTCATTTATTGAAATAATACTTAGTTTGAATTAATTAGTATGGAAAAATGTTAATGTTTTGTTGAACTGGTTTGGTTTTTTTTTTTTTTTTTTTTTGGTAATGTGTTGAAATATTTAGGGGGTATTAAACTAAGATGTTAAGTAAGGTATGTTATCCAGTGTTGTTACAATTAATTTTACAGGTTTCATTTTAAATACGGTACTAAGAAAGCCCAACATGGCTTGCATTATATTTCTCACAAACCATACTGGTATGGGTTTTTGTTGTGCATTGTTGAGTTTTATATGTGAGAGTAACTATGGTGGGGTAGTTCTTCCAGAGAATATGTTAAGTAGTAACTATATCAGAGCCTTACTGAGTTGAAAATCTGCAGTGATTAGTCACTTAGCTAAGTAATTCGTTCCCTTCACATTAGCATCATAACTGGTAGAGTTATAATTTGTGTCCCAAAATAACTGTTGTTGTATTACGTGGATTTTTGGGGTCAGTTTTAAACAGTTGGAGTTGAGTATGGTGACTGGGAGAGAGTACCTCAGGATGATTGTTTCTTTTCCTCTTTGCCTTTTTTTTTTTTTTTAAACTGAGTGATATTTTAGCTCAGAATTTCTCTATTACTTGATTGTCGTTTTCTGCCTTCCCAGCTCACGAATGATTGATGTCCAGACCAAGATGGCTGGGCGAGCATTGGAGCTCCTTTGTCTGCCCGAGGGTCAGCCCTGTTACCTGTTGGATATTGGGTGAGATCCTGGGGCTCGGTTCAAGTAGTCCAGGTGATGGACTGTCTTTGCTGCTCACACTGTTGAGTTCCTGTTTGATTATGTTTTCCAGCTGTGGTTCTGGGCTGAGTGGAGATTATCTCTCAGATGAAGGGCACTACTGGGTGGGCATCGACATTAGCCCTGCCATGCTGGGTAAGTATGTCCTACTTGAATGTGGACTTTTCTTCATGAGCAGGGAGCAGCTGTGCATCCTCTCTCCCTGATGTGCTCTTCTCCGATGCAGATGCAGCCTTGGACCGAGACACTGAGGGAGACCTGCTTCTGGGGGACATGGGCCAAGGCATCCCCTTCAAACCAGGCTCCTTTGATGGTTGTATCAGGTGAGAAGAGTTTTTCACTTACTGCTTTCAGTCCTGCAGGTTAGTGCTTCCCAAACTAGCTGTGTAGCAGAGTTACACAGGAAACTAAAAAATAGACACCCCCAGGTTAGAGCAGTGGTCCCAGTTGTCTATTTTTTTTGTATTTTTGAAACTACTCCTTTGATCGTCTTGGACTTCCAGGTTCAGGTACAGCTGGTGTAGATTCTCTGCTCTGGGGGTGGGGGTGGGGGTGGGGGAGGGTGGTCTTCTCAACCTCTAGGAGCCATTTTGTGGGTGCCAGCAGCCATCATTTTAGCTCAGCGGCCATCTTGTTGGCCTCAGCAGCCATCATTTTAGCCCCAGCGGCCATCTTGTTGGCCTCAGCAGCCATCATTTTAGCCCCAGCGGCCATCTTGTTGGCCTCAGCAGCCATCTTGTTGGCCCCAGCAGCCATCATTTTAGCCCCAGGGGCCATTTTGTTGGCCTGAGGAGCTATCATCTTAGCCCCAGCAGCCATCTTGTTGGCCCCAGCAGCCATCATTTTAGCCCCAGTGGCCATCTTGTTGGCCCTAGCAGCCATCATTTTAGCCCCAGTGGCCATCTTCTTGGCCTGAGGAGCTATCATCTTAGCCCCAGCAGCCATCTTCTTGGCCTCAGGAGCCAGCTTGTTGCCTTCTTTTTTAATTGCTCTTCAGTGAGGGGGAAAAAAAAAAAAGGCTCTTCAGTGAAGAATGGTCCAGAATTTAACAGTCTCTTCAGTGGCTTAATCATTTCTGGGTTGTCAGGGTCAAGTTTTGAAGACTCATGTAGTGCTTTGATAACAGACCTTACAATATTGAAATGACTGTTCAAAACATGAAGTTGTTCTTTGTCTTCTGTGGTAAAGTTCTGTTAAATATTTGGTGTAACGTGTTGATGATGGGGTGGAGGTAGGGGATGAAGGAGGAAGTTGTATCTTTGATCCTTACCTTTATACCTTTAATCCACAGGAGGGGGATACCTCCTCCTGTGACTATGGGTTGAGTAGTGGGGATCTGGATGTGAACAGTAAAAATTTGGAATTGAAGATTTTTTCCTAGGGTAAAGGAGGAGTTTAAATTTGGGAACAAGATTGGGGGGAGAAAACACCTTTCAATGATAGCAATTGCTTTTTAGTAATGATTGGGTGAGCTGCAGAAAGCCAAAGGCCAGTGATATGGTCTGTATATCTTCGGAATAAGTCATCCTTTTTTTTTTTTTTTTTTTTTTTTTTAAGAGATGATATGGCAAGCTGATTATTTTTCTTTTTTTTTAGCATTTCATATTGTAAGACATGGTATCAGGTGCTGTGGATCTTGTGGAAGTACAACAAAGTCCCTGCTTTTAAGACTCTGCATGGTGTATGAGGTGCTCTAAGACACGAGCCACACGACTAAACAGGAATTTGAGTGTGGAGTGTGATGGAGAGTCCTGGGACCCACCCGAGCGGTGAAGAGAAGCCAGAGAGCACAGGGAAACCTGGAGGAGGAGGGGCCGGGGCTGGCCCTTGAAAACTGAGGAATTGAGCTAGGCATGGGGGGAGGGTGTCTGAGTGAAGAACAGTGAGAACAGAGCCACAGAAAGTGGCCAGAGAGTGGCACCTGATAGATCCCCGTGGGGGTAGAATGAGAGATTTTTAAGCTCCATGTTGAGAAGTTTGGGCTTTATTGAGTAGTCGGGAAGCTAGGGAGTGAGTGACCAGATCAGAACTGTATTTTGGGTAGATTATTTACAAGAAGAAAAGCGAGATTGTGGAAGCAATGGAGGCGGTGGTAGTGTTGCCCCAGGAGAATGGTAGAGAGAAATAAAAACTGGGAGAGGCAGTGGGACAGACCAGTAGGGTTTGTAGTTCCGTGGATATATGTTCACAGGCCTGAGTGGGGGATGTACCTGAGAGGAGTGTATGATAACCGTTTGAGGTTTTTAAATCTGGGAATGGTGAAGACAATGAACAGGTACAGTTGAGTGAACTGATTGCAGAGGAGAATGAATGAATGAAGGTGTTTTATTCTAACGGTTTTCCCTCAGATAGGGGAAGGGAAAGAAGGGGTAGGTGGCAGAGAGGCTTGACATACTGTGTAATTTTAAATTTGAGATGCATGTGCGAAACAAGGTTGAGAAAATACTTGTTTGGACTGGCTGCACAGAAGTTAATGCTGACCTTCCATCCAACCTTTTCTGTCCAATATTGTAGAACGGTGAGCTGAAGTGGATCTGCACATGGCCAGAAGGAGAATTATGGGCAGGAGGGTTTCACCTGAAGCTCAAGGATGTGTGCATGGTGATAGAGTCTCACAGAGCCTGGGAAGAGTACCACATGTTGGTCCCTCTCCTGACTGGGTCCCTTCTTTTCTCAGCATTTCTGCTATACAGTGGCTCTGTAATGCAAACAAGAAGTCTGACATCCCTGCAAAGCGCCTGTACTGCTTTTTTTCTTCGCTTTACTCTGTGCTGGTGAGTATGAGATCTCCTACCTGTTTGGGTTGGCTGTTTATTCCTCCTGTGGATAGTGATGGAGTAGGAAATATTCCACGGGAAGGCCATTCACGTGGGCCCGCCCGGGGTCACAGGACCTTGTTGTGGTTATTTCTGTCTAGGTCTAAGCCCTAAAGAGAAATCTCAGCAGTCTGATGCCTCAAATAAAATGCAGAACATGTCAGTGTCAAAATCTGAGACCGATTATAATTCCTATGTCCCAGCTGCACTGAATTTTAATTGGAAGTTGGTTTAGGGGCATGGACACCACAGAGTGAGGACAAAGACATCGTGTGTAGAGCTCACAGAGTGCCCACAAATCCTCTGACTCCTACTCCTTTCTCCCCGCTACTGCTGATGCTCAGGTGGGGAGCAGGGTGGTTATTTATCACAGAACCTTTATTAGCTTTATCTGTCTTCATGACTAACGGTCTAGATTTTAGTTGTTTAGTAGGATTAGACAGTAGTTTGAGATTTTAAGTCCTAGGAATGAACGGATCCAGGTATTTCTTGGTATCTCCCCACCTCATCCCTAGTTTTCCTAAGATGGGTTGTTTCTGCAGTTGGCTGGCTGGTCTCATGTATCATGTGCTTTTCCTCATACACATGCCCTGGAGTTAACCTGAGGTTCTGGTGGCTTCTGTGTTTGCCTTTCTCTCTGCTGAAGTGGTTTTCCCTCCTGTGATTAGCCAGGACCCCACTACATTCAGGACACTGCTCAAGTGTCCCTTCAGAGAGAGGCCTTCCTTGAGCCAAAAGTAAACCCAACAGTCTCTTGTCATTCACCATTCCTTTGTTCTAATTTATTTTTCTTCTTGGCATTAAATCAATGCTGTAAATTAGCAGCCTTTCATGCTAAAATGTGAACTCTGAAAGTTTGGGGGCTGTCTCTGTTCACGGCTGTGTCCCAAGCCCTATGAACAGTGTCCTATACCTAATGGGGTTTCAGATATCTAGTGAGCAAGGAATAGAGAAGCATTGGGCCTTGAGCCCATGGTATGATTGTAGGAGAGTGAGGTCTCTGTTGCTTGCAGGTTCGTGGAGCCCGGGCTGTCCTGCAGCTATACCCGGAGAACTCCGAGCAGGTGAGCCCCTTGGCTACTAGAGTTGCAGGGAAGGGGGGTGGTAAACCCAAGACAGGTAAGCTGTCCTCCTCACTCACCTGCCCTTGCGCTGTTGGGAGGTGACAAGACAAGGAACTCGTTGCTGACTAGGGGGAAAAGTAGGGAATGAGCCCCCAGGAGAGGTCCCTGTGGCCCCTGATGGCATGTTTTATGACCTGGTGTCCTAGGCAAGAGTAGTGGTACCTGTGGGGGTAGGGTAGGGCATTTGTTTTCTCCTGACAGACATCTGGTGTTAACAGTTAATAGGTTATTTCTGGTACACACAGTTAAATAGAAGTTGAGAGAGGATTTGAGAGAACAGCAAAACTGTCCTGTAGAACGTCATGCCATGGGGATGAGTATAGGTACAGACCCTGAAAGACAAGTGGGGAGCTGTCCCCAGCCCCTAACATGAAACATGAGTGAGTTTGCCTCCTGACTGGTGGCCATTCCTGAGATGGGAGGGGGGTAGGTAGAAAGATGGGTCCCTGGGCTAGATAGAAATGGAGACTTGAGGGAATTGCTGATTCCAGCCTACACTTCTTTGTGTGGCTTTCGGGGATTCAGAATGGAGAGCAGTCTTATGAAGATCTTCAGTTCTCCCAGGCAGGATCCATCCTGGGGGCAGACTGGCTCCTGGAAGGGAGTGGAGGAAAAGCTGTGTGCTCCCCCAGCCTCCATGCCTGACTCACACCATTCTCTTCTCAGTTGGAGCTGATTACAATCCAGGCCACCAAGGCTGGCTTCACTGGTGGCGTGGTTGTGGACTTCCCCAATAGCGCCAAGGCAAAGAAGTAAGTGCTGAGGGCTAGTGTGCTGTTGGCGTCGAGCAGAGGGGTTGTTGGGGTGATGAGCCAGCCAGAGGGTTGCTAGGCTGGGTCCCCCGGGCCCTCCTATTCTGTACCTGTGTGTGAGAGGGGACGTGCTTGAGGATTTGTGTGTCGTCCGTACCCCCCCTCCCCCTGTCGGCTTTATGAGCCCAGCCCTCACTCTCCTTTCTGCTTTCAGGTTCTACCTCTGCTTGTTTTCTGGGCCTTCGACCTTTATGCCAAAGGTGAGGGACCCAGAGTCTGTTGGTTTGTGTCCTTTGGATTCCCTGCTTGTGGGGCCTCGTACCTGTTGAAAGTGCTCAGGCCTGGGTGGCCTGGCCTCCCAGGGCAGGGCAGACGGGTGGAGGGACCCTGGGGATGATCTAAGAGTCCTCTGGTCTCTGCAGCCCCTGAATGAGAGTAACGAGAGTAATGAGGAAGAGGAGGTCCAGGAGTCCGTGTTCACAAGAGAGAGGTAAAACAGTCCGCACTCGCTGGGGCTGGCCTTGGGTGTGGGGTGGGGCTTGCTGCTGCCAGGGCTGGCAGACGGGGCGGAAGGAAGATGGCAGCGCTCTGCTTTCATGAGGCTCTCAGGACCAGGTGTGGCTGTGGCACCAAAGTGGTGACAGAATGGGAGACCTGTGGGCCTGTGCCTGCTCCCGCCGCCCGCTGGGCAGTGGGGGCCCTCCAGCGTGTCTGCGGCCCCCTTCTCCCTCAGGCTGCTGCCCCCACTGCGTCCCAGACCCCCCTCCCCTCTGGCTCTCCCTCCGCTCCCCTGCATCCTCCTGTCTGCTCTCCCGCCCACTCCCACATGCACTGTACCAGCTCTCCTGTCTTCTCCAGTAGCCAGCCTTGTGCATAGGCCTCCCTTCTGGGTCAGATCTGGCACCTGTCTTGCCCCACTGCACCATTCTCTCACTGCTGCTCTCTGCTTCTGCCACTGGCCCCACTGGTAGCTCTCCTCAAGGCCACACTAGCTTCTGTCCTGCCAAGGCTGTGGCTACTTTTCAGTCTGCTTTCTCTGCTGTCCTTAACTTAACCTACCTGCTCTGTAGGCACCAACTGAGACCTCGCTCCCTTGTTGCTTTCCCTGTCCAGCTTCCCCTAAGCCTTCCCCCAACCCCCATCTCAGTTTGGTCCTCGGCTCTCTGGCTGTTCCTTCTTGGAACACCCTGGGGCCCAGCCTGGACACACACACCACCACCACCCCACCCCACCCCACCACCACCCCTGTCTCTCTCCTGCTTTAGCCACCAACTCTAGATTCCTTGCTCCGGACTTAGGTCTGTGGCCTCTACCCCACCTCCAATTTCTGAACCGTCCCCTAAGTATCTGCTTTAGGGATACTTTCACCGGTGTGCAGGACAAAGCCACGCTCTTGCTCTTCACCCCAAGACTCCCTCCGCTCTCTCCCCTATTTGTTTCTGTTTCCCTTACCTCCTCTCCAGCCAGGCCTTCACGTCTTGCTACCTTTGACGCGAGTCTGTCCAGGGGGCAGCCCCCTCCTCTCCCTGGGCCCCCGCCACCTTTGCCTGGCGTGGACATTGCTATGCTGGCCTCCCTCTGCTCTTGATCTTTGCCCATTTGAATTTCTCCTACATGGTTGTAAGACAAGTCCTTTCTTCTTCTTCCTTTCATTTCTTAAAACGGGTAAATGTATCTTGCCATTTTGCTCTTCCAATGTCCTTGGTTGAGTTCTCTTTACCATCTGTTTCCCTCCACCTTTCAATGCTCTGAATCCTATGTATTTGTTTCCTGGGTGGTCAGGGGGTTTCCCCAGCCAGAAGGAGAACTTGGATATCACTGGTATGTCCCCGATGTCAGAGCAAGATCTTTGTCAGTGAACAGTGTCCAGCATTCAGTGGCTGGATAATTGATGGTAAGGCAGTGAAGGAGGTTATTTCTTCCTTCTGGTTGATGGGAGTGAAAAGCCTAAAAATTTTTAAGACGTTGAAGAAGAAAAATGGGTAGAGAATGAATTTAGAAGGCCATGGGTGGTGAAGATCATGAGTGTGTTCATGTCCACCACAGACTGAATCCTTCTGACTCCTTATCCCCACCTCCCACCACAGTCATCTCCCTTAGCTTCCTGGGTCCATTCTGGGGGAGTAGCGGGATTGTGGGGTGGTTTTAGATGCTTTTTGTTCTAAGTGCCCACCACTTGCTCCCAGTGAGTGGTGCCCTTTCTCCCACCTCCCAGAGGATCTGCCCTCAGTGCACCTCCTCCATCCACTGTGTATGTAGTCCCTCTAGCCCTCAGACTGGTGTCTCCAGATGACATGCGCTAACTGTAAAGTTAGGTAAGCAACTGTTCATCTACTTGAGGGAGTAAAGCGAGCACTCGGAGAGTGTGTCAAGCAGAGGGCATGTGTGTGCAGGCTCAGCACAGACTTGTCTCCCCAGTTCTGTAGATCCTCAGCTTGGGGGACGGGGGACAGGAGGCTGTTGTCCATTGGCAGGATAATTGGGGCTTCTCCTGTTGTCCTTTCTATCTTAATTGTTCTCTCTGTCTCTGCCTCTCTGAGAACTCAGTCCACCTGTGGCATTTGCAGCTACTGACCACCTTCCCTCTTGGCACCTTTGGGTTGGGGCACTCACGGCCTCTACCCACTCCATTATTTGCCGTGATGACTCTCCCCTGTGGTTTGTTTCTTCTGTGGCTCACAGTTGGCCCCCACTTCTGCTTCTGTACACGCTGCTGCTGCTGTGTCCTGTGCTCTCAACCCCGATGTTGGCAGCTGCCTATTTTGCACTTGATTTCTCAGACCCCTGCTCTCTGGTTGTAGGCACTCTTCTGTTTGCTTCATGTACCCTGCATGTCCATGCCGAAGGGTATAGGTCCTGTTGTCAGTCCTTTGCCAAGATACAGCAGTGACTGCTCCTTGCTTACTGAGGAGAAAACATGTTCACTCCTTACCCGTGTTCATATCTTCATGAACTAGCCTAGCCAAGTGAGATTCTCAGATTTTTATTTTTTAGAGTAGGGGGCAGAAGAGCAGAGGGAGAGAGAATCTCAAGCAGACTCTACATTAAGAGCAGAGCACAAAGTGGGGCTTAATGTTAGGACCCTAAGATTATGATCTGAGCCAAAGTGAAGGGTCAGGTGCTCAACTGAGTGAGCCACCCAGGCACCCCCAAGATTTTTTTTTTAATTCTGACTTTTGTTATTAGGTCAGAACAGAGGAGAAATAGCAGCAAGCAGGGTCCATGTTGTAGTCCATGTTGCAGTCTGGCCTGCATTGACCCTGAGCCAAGGAGGGAACGTGTGCTTCTTGCCGTTGGTATCCCACCAGGACTCCTCCCCTTCTCATCCCACACACGGGACTCTTCTGCTCCTGACCTGCTCTGTCCTTTCGGTGCCACACCCCATGTGGCACTCTGGTCCCGGCACTGCCCCTATCTCTGCCTGCAGGAATAGCCACTTGTCTCAGCAGCTCTCTCGTTTCTCCCAGATTGCTCTTCCTTTCTGAGTCACTCCCTTAGCAGCTGCCGGGCCTCTGCACTTGCTTTGCCTAGTGTCGCTGGTGCCTGCCGAGGCCCAGGCATGGGCTCTTCAAGGGCAGGCCTGGTTGATACCCACTGTAGGACATCCATGGGTTGTGTACTCAGGTGCTCAGGAAATGGTTAATTCAAATGACAAGCAGCCCTCTGTGGCAAGAATTAGGCTGGAAGCTGTTTGATCCCAGCTGCCAGGTGGGGGTATGGTTTGGGGGCAGAGGCTCGCCCCATTATTCAGGGCCTCTCTCTCGTGGGGCTTTATGAGGGGTCCCTTTTCTTCTCAGCCAGGGCTGGAGGCCAAGATCCGCCCTTGAGGGTCATTGTCAGGGCTGCCGTGAGCTGGCAGCCTTGTTACCCTGCCTCAGACATTTGTTGCCAGGAGCCTCTGCTTGGCGTCTGCCAGCCTTGCCAGCTCCGTAGCCAGGCGAGACGAGGGTCTGAAGTGGTGGCACTGGGCACAGGACCTCAGCTCTCCTTGGGTGGTGGCAGGCTTTCGTGAGCTGATGCTGGCCTGTTGCCTCAGAAGTACCGTGGTTCCCTCCCTGCCTGTCTCACAGGCAGTACCTAACAAGCAAACCCACCTGAGCCAGGTGGTCCTCTACACAGAGATGCCTGGGAGGGAGTACGGGCCTCTCCCATCCTCTTCTCCTCCCCCTCTCCTCCCGAACAGCAGCTCTGGCCTGAGGGGATGTCACTGGGGAGGAGAGTGTCTCTTGAGAGTGGGGACCTCTGTTGCAGAAGGGGCATTGAGGCCACCCGACACGGGGAAGATCACCAGTTTTGCCCCGCATGTATTAGCCTGGGTGCCAGCCAGGCCGCTCCATCCATCTGCTCAGAGCTGTCTAACCCCCCTCCCCCCACAGGATCCCATACAGGATCGCGTGCCGCGGGGTGGTAAGGAAGAGCCGTGAGTGGGTGCTGGAGAAGAAGGAACGCCGTAGGCGGCAGGGCAAGTGAGTGTTGTGGCCAGGCTGGGCTGCTGAGGGAGGAGGGTGTCCTGGGGGTTCTTTATTCTGAGACTTTGTTGTTTCCTTGCCACAGGGAGGTCAGACCTGACACCCAGTACACCGGCCGCAAGCGCAAGCCCCGCTTCTAGGTGGTTTGCTTAGGCTGCACGCGGTTATTACAGGCGAGAAGTTTTCTCTGTTGAAGTGCCTACATCCGTCAGCTGACAAAAATATTGTTTTAGAAAAGTTTTCATGTTCTAACAGTTTCTCTTCACTTAACAAAAGTTTTAATAGCATCTTATTTTGTTCTAAAAGCAATAAACCACTTCCTGTGGAATTGCGGTTCTGGCATTTTCCAGCTCTGTGATCTTTTTTTTTTTTTTTTTTTCCCAGCTCTGTGATCCTAAACACATTTCTTTCTTTTTTTTTTCTAAACACATTTCTTGAGTTTCTACTGGGGGGCAGAGGTGGGGGCTGTGGGGACTATCACCAGGTTCCCCAGGTCCAGACGAGGCTTGAAGAACTTAAGTGTATGAAAAGCATTCTTTTATTAATCTACAAGGAATACCGGTAGATTTAATTTCGGGCTGTTTATTCCAGCACGAGGCAGATTCGGGAAGGATGGGCAAGCGGAAATGTGTCTGTGGGACCCACTGACCTGCAGCTACCACCTGGCCTCTGGTTGCCCTCTAGTTAAAGGCATCCTCCAGCCTGTGGCCTGGGCTGACTTTTGGCCTTGAGCTGCACCAGCTGTCCATCAGGCCAGCACTTGGTTGCCTTCAGGGCCTGTCTTCTGTCCGGTTACTAGTGGGCTGTAGCATGCTAAGACTGGGGGCATCTGGGGATCGCTTGTGACTTCTGGGAAAAAGCAGGAGGAGGGTATGGATATGGCCCACGGGACAGACCAGGCATCAGCCTTTAAGCTGGGGTGGAGGGGCCGGAGGATCTGGAGGCTGAGGGAGCAGGAGGGACCCTCTGGGCCCCTCCTTCCTGTTAGTGCTGTGCACATTCATCCTGAAGTTCTAAGGCTAGGATACTGGCAGCAAAAAATCTACAGTAGAGGCATGGTACAGATACAAATGTTTATTCTACATAAAAATTTCACAAAATGGGCAGCTGGTTGTACCAAGACCTTTGGTGAAGGGGGTGAAGGCGGGGAGGGAAGTGGCTGATAGAGAAGGCAACAACGGACAGTGGTCACAGTCACTGGGTAGGAGCAGAGCTGAGGGGAAGGCAGGGCACAGACGGGGCCCTGTCCCCTACTGCATGCACTCGCATGCACACTCCTAGCCTGTCAACGAGGAAGAGGGGTCTCGGGCAGGGGCACATTTCTGACTTGAGAAGCCCCCAAGACGGGGAGGAGGGAGGTGCTCCTCCCTGGCTGGCTGCTGAATACTGCATCCCAGACACCAGACACCCACGTGGCATGTCAGTGGAGGACAGCAAGGGCAGGATGTGATTGCAGGCCTGAAGTAAGTCTGATTTCCCAGAGCACAAGGGAGCAGGGACCACTGTCCCAAACATGCAACACACGATGGCTTGAGAACCTGACCAAGGCCTGCCGGGAAGAGTGGCTGGCCCAGGGTGTGTGGGTTTTGGCTATGGCAGAGGCCCTCTGGGCTCAATCTGCTTCCCTAGCTCCAAGGGTGGCTGGAAACCAGGCACCAGACAGCCTCTGGAAGTATGTTACCTGGGGTCAGGGAGAGCCCAAAGGGGTTGCTCCTGGGGCTGTGAGAACATGGGAAGGGGAAATGCCAAGACCCGCTGGACTCTGCCCCTAGGCAGGGGAGGGAGCCCGGTCTTGACACAGCCAAAAGCCACCTGGCCACGGCACCCTGAGCCTCCCTGGCAGTGATGAGCTGTTAGAGGCTTAGAGCTGGGCTGTCTCTCAGGGCCACCCTTCCCCTAACCTGAAAAGCAGCACCATGTGGCCAGCTGGTCCCCACCCCTCAGGGGGCTCGACTTGGGACAGCTGGAGAGGTCAGGGCAGATGGGCCAGGCGGTAGGAGACAAGGTAGGGGTCCAGAGAGAATCCTGGTCCCAAGAGAGGGCAGACCCCAGGCTGGAGTAGAAGGCAGGGAGAGGGGGAGCATGGCTACCCTGGGCAGTGCTACCTGGGAAGGGTGAGGCGGCCTGGGCTAGGGCCTGAGTCTGTTCTTTGCTGACCTGCCCCACCCCACCGGCTCCTCAGTACAGACACACACGGTCACAGATCATGCACACGACGGCTCAGGGTGGGGTGGGTATGGAGGGCCCGATGGCAGAGAAAGGAGCAGGATAGGATGGGAAAGAAGGGGCTCCGAGCCAGAAGGCAGCAGCAGCCAGGGGGCCTCCTGAGGGCAGACCATCCGGAGTAGAGTGGCAGGTGGGATGATTTTTATCCAAAGATGCCTCCAAAGGTGGAGGCAATGACAATGCCCAGGATCACGCAGCAGATGATGATCATGATCTTCTTCTGCATGGGGGAGGCAGGAAGGAGTGGCCTCAGAAACAGGCTGAGGCTGAGGGCTGGGTCAGAGCTTGGAGGAGTGGGGCACACGAGGGAGAAGAGCCCCTGAGTGGCACTGAGAGCTGGGGGTCTGGAGGGTGGAAATAAAATTGGACCTGGGGAAGGTGTCACCCGGAACGGACCCAGGAGGCGGTGATGGCGGGGAGCTGAGGGACTTGGGGTGAGGGCTCAGATGGAGTCAAGTGTGGAGAGAGGCCTTGGGGCTCTAACAGGCAGAGGGGAGCTACTGACCCGGCGTGCCTTGCTCTGGTACTTGACAGCCTTCTTGGTGTCAGACACAGCCCTCTCCACATAGTCTACCGAATGTTCCACGTTGTACTCGATCCTGTCAATCATCTCCCCCTGCAGGGCCGGTGTCTGTGAGCTCCAGGGGGGTCCCCCTCAGAGCAGGACTCTGGGGAAGCACCCTGAGATCAGAGAAAGAAAAGTGGAGGCATAAGGATGGGGTGCCAGCTTTCACCTGTGCCCCTCAGGCCAGGTCCCCTGGGCAGCTTCCTCCTCTCCCTGGGGAGCAGGCATCCTGGGGAGGAACTGGCCATGCAATCTCAGCCAAGGGAGTAGAGACATGCAAAGGGTGCTCAGCTGGGCCAGGAGTGAGGCCGAAGGAGGCAGGGCCTGGAGTTGGTGCTCTGCACAGGGTGCCACTCCTCATGGGCATGGTGGTTCCACTCAGCTCTGTCTTCCGTCTTCAACATTTAAGACATCCTGCCTACCCCTGTAGCCCTTCTGAGCCATCTGGTCCCAGCAGCCCCTAGATGCCACTCCAACCATGATGCTGCCCAAGATCCCCCAGCAGCAGCGATGTGAAAAATGACCACTCCCTTCAAGTCCACTGCTTGCTTCCTCTGGGGTCTGTATCCCCATGGTCTATTAGCTGATGGCAGCAGCAGCCTCCTCGGGGCCCCCCGGCTTCCTGACTCGGTTCACACCATGCCCATACTCAAGACCCTCCAGTCTAGAAGAGAATCCAGAAGCCCAGAACCACCGTCTCCCTCTTGTTCACACCCCCTTCCCCTAAGCTTAAGCTCTAGCCGTATGACCTCCTCAGTGAGCTGGGGTCTTGCCAGTCTCAGGACTGTGCTGCTGCTGGTCCCACTCTTCACACACCATAGGAAGTCTTCCGAGCTCAAATGCCACCTCCTCAGGCCTTCCCTGACCACCTCCATCCAAAGTGGCCACCACAGGGACTCTTACAGTGTTACCCCAAGTGTGGCCCTAGGGCTAGCAGCATCAGCATCCCCCTCAAACCTGTTAGAAATGCAAATTCACGGGTCCCCACTCTGACCTACCAAGCTCTGGGCATAGGGACCAGGAAACCTACAAGCCTGCCAAGTGATTCCTGGGCCCTATCCAGTTGGAGGACCACTGCCTTATCACACTGCCTCCTAACATCTCCTGAGCACCCAGCACAACTCAAGAACATTCCATTTGTCATTTACGTATGCTGCCCTTTTGCCCAACACACATTAGCACAGGACCTCAGCTGTCCTGGTCACTGCTCGATGTCCAGCTCCTAGAAAAGTGGCTGTCTGCAGTGCTCACGTGACAAATCGGTGATAAGACAGGACAAGGCTGGGTATAGGGCCATGCAGGGCCATGCAGCACCCAGAGCCCAGTAGCAGAGCCATGCAGAGGATGGGGTCCTTCAGATGGGCACAGCCCTGGAGGCGGTTTCAACGGGGTGGTTAGTTACCTGGAGCCTTGGTCCCTCCCCAGCAGGGCAGCATGTCAGGCAAAAAGGATAGGGGTTAGTGCAGCCCTGGGTTGCTGCTGTGGGCTCAGGGCGGGTGGAGGGCAGTGGGGCCCGAGGCTCTCACCTGGCTCTCCACAAGCATGGCCATGTCCATGAACATGTCATGCAGCTCACGGATGCTGTTCTCCAGCTTGATGATCTCACTGTGCCGTGTCTCAATCTCGCTCAGAGCCTGCTTTGAGATGCTGGAGTCCATGATGATCTAGAGGGTGGGAGCAGTGGGCTGGGACCCAGGAGCCTGCTCCAGGGGGTAGGGACGGGTGCCAGGGCCAGGGCAGCAGGCCAAGAGCAAAGGCATCTGAGCTGGACTTCTCAGTATTAACGGGCTAGTGACACTCCCCGCCTGTGCCTGCCACACAGTAACTGCTCACCAGCCTTGTACAGAGACCAACTTGACTGCCCCAAGGACCCAGGCCTTGAACCACCTTTCTCCCCACTCCTTCCCGTCAGCCTCCCAGACAGGGTAACTGCCCCTCCCTCCTCTCCTGGAAGCCACAGGCCCTAGCTGCCTTCATCCCTGTGTGCCACCTCTTCCAGGATGCCGTCCCCCGCTTGCTCAAGCTTCACTTGAATGTAGAGATGGCCAAGGGCACCCATGTCTCCCAAGAGAGGAAAAGGGCCCTGAGGATGGTAGTAGGAGCCCCTGGCCAGTGGCAAACAGGAGAAGCAAGAAAGTAGACCCAGTTGGGAGAACCAGGAGACAGGTCTTAATTCTACCTTTGCCACATCATTTGCGTGGCCTCAGTCTGGTCCCTCTTCCTCTGGGGCTCAGCCTTCTCTGAAACCTGCCTCACAAGGTGGCTGTGTCCAGAGACTGCCCAGCCCCAGCACTCTGGACACGCAGCAGGGGTAGGGGGTGAGGGGAGTTCACACTCACTCCGGAAGCAAAGATGGCGGGGTTCCCACTCTCCAGCATGTCCTCCAGCTCCTCGCTGGTTGTGGTCCGGCCAGCTGCGGGCAGGGGTCTCAGTGAGCCCTGCACACTCCGCAGCCTTCGGCCGCAGCCCCGCCCCCGCCCCTCGGCCCCAGCCCCACCCCCTCAGCTCACTGATCTCCAGCTGCCTTTGGATGCGGCCCTTGCAGCGCTCGCGGTAGTCCGACTGTGTGGCGTTGTACTCGGACATGACCTCCACAAACTTGCGGGACAGCGTGGAGTGCTGGGGGTGTGAGGTGGGGGTACAGGTGTCAGGCCCAGACCCGCAGGGCACCAGGGCCTCCGGTGCCCTCTGGCCCGCCCCAGAGCCCCACCCGCAGCACCTGTGTCTTTCGGATCCTCAGGTCTGCGGATGAGCGGTTGAGGCCTTCTTCCTGCTCGATGCTCTGCTCGATGCCTGGAGGCATGGAGGGCTGCTGAGCCATACCTGTCCCCTCACCAGTGTCCCCTCCCCATCCCCATCCGCAGCCAGGATCTGGCTCGGGACCTCCCCCAGGAGAGGCTCGGGACACTCCCCCTCTAGTGTGCACTGTGAGGGGGTCTCTGTGGGCAACGGGGAAGCAGGAGCGCCAGGCACTGATGGGGGCCGACACGTACAGCCATCTGCAAGGCCTCGGCACACAGCAAGCTGTGCGTGTGAGTGCTTGCTGTGTGTGAGGCCGGGCAGCTCAGGCCCACCATGCCTTCTGCTCAGGAATCCCATGTGCCCGACGAGGGCCCACACCTGGTAGGGTCAGTCTAGTGGCCCCGATCTGCAGGAGCTCTGCACCTGTGCTCACACAAACACACCTTGGCTTCCAGGCAGGACCAGGCAGTGCTGACCGCCCCCTGAACCCCCTCTTGCTGAAGTGAGGGACAATTGCCCGGGGGGGGGGCACTCCCTCACTGAAGCCTCAGGCATCTGTCCCAAGGCACGGCCTGAGCCTGGCCCAGACAAGCCTTGCCAGGAAGCAGCTGTGAGTGGGCACATGACAGCACCCACATAAAGGAGACCAAGACCTAATGTACCCGAGAGTCAGCAAGATCCCAGGGCCACGCAGGGAAGCGGGCCCAGAGTGCCCCTCTACTGCCCAGACAAGGCCTGGAGCTTAGACTCACTCTTTAACTTGGAACGAACTTTGTTTGCTGTCTTCTTGATGTCAGACATGAGCTCCTCCAGTTCCTCCTTTGTCTCTGGGGAGGGAGAAGGGGGACAGGGTAAACCCGGGGCTCCCCCTGTGACCTGACGCTCAGGCTCAGCCCGCGGGCAGGCCCAGGTCCCAGGCCTTCCCCTTTCCGCTGGCTAAGGCTCTGCCTGCCCCTCCAGCCCTGGGCCTGGGGCCACAGCAGCTGCGGCCTCACCCCCTCTTGTGCTGCTTCCGAGGAGCCTCCCTTCCTCCTTCTCTGGCTCTCCCACCCCCTGCGGATAACAGACGGGTCTAAATTTAAGGCAGAAATAATTGTGGAGCAGCTGGCAATGCTGGCATTGGCACTGGGGAACATTTACTTGATGCTTGCCTGAGTCGGATGGGGGGGGTGCAGGTTTACCTAGAGTTACCTGGTAGCTCTGGGGGGATGAGCATCCAGCCACCAGGGTGACAGAGCCAGGGGCCAGGGAGGCTGAAGTGGGTCCCCCTCCACTGAGCACCTTGGGTGGGGTAGACTCTATTCTATGCAGAGTCACTGCTCCCCCTTTCCAGGTGCTGAGCTCAATGGAGACCAACTGCCGAGTACCCAGTGGGTGGATGGGGGCATGAGGCACCTGGCCTGTGTGGGAGCTGATGGAAAAGAACCTCAGGGATGTGGGCCCCCTGGCACACAGGTGGCCCTGGAGCAGCAGGTGGCTGGTCCTGTGACGGCAAAGCTGGGGGATGGCCACAGCCTAGTGTTTCTGGCCTTTGTTCCAGCTGAACTGTCTCTCTAAAGCTGGCGGAGGCCATGGGGGTACCCAGCTTGCTCCACCCCAGTGAGGGGTTAGCTGGCCAAGTGGCTGCCTCCCTCAGCAACCTGCCCCAGCTCAGGGCAACCCCAGGACTCTGCTTCCCGGAAGAAACCAGGACTGAGCTCTTGCTCGGCCTTTCTTACCCACCATCTGCTTTCCTCTGGGGCTGGCCCTCTCCTAGAGGGTGTTGGAAGGGCATTTACAGCAGTTACTTTGGGTGGGCACCTACTAAATGGATTGGGAGGTGGGGGGCTTCGAGGAGCGGAGGAAGGCGCTTCATTCGTACAAACAAAGGAAACTTACCAGCTGCTCTGACGTCTCTGCCTCTTTTGCTCAGATCCAAAATAGCCCAACCCGGATGGCGGCCCCCAGGGAAGGCAGAGCAGGCCTCGGCCGGGAGAGCCCCCTGCTTGCTGCCACCTTTCCCGGTGACTCCTTGTTAACTGCTCCCTCTGCTCTAGAATCGGTACCGGGGAGCCCCCTCCCTACATCAGTGACCACTGGCTGGTCCTGACTCACGGTGGCAAATCTGAACTGGCTGCTACTGATCGTACGACGCGAGGAGACTTTGTGAGGAAGGTGGCACGAGGCAGCTAAGATAAATGAACAGGCATCTGTTGCCCCGTGCTCACCCCGTCTTCCAGCAGGTGAATGCTCTCGCTCTTTATAGGACTCTGTTCCCACAGGTAGCCCCTTCTGACTCTCATCAGGAGGGACACACACGAACTCAGACACACATGCACATAAAGACATAAGATGTCACATGCTGCCATCCCCAACAAATGTCTGGGGGCAGGGGCAACGCGTGATGGACACCCTGAATGTGTGCCCTGCCTTGGGTGGCCCCTCTCTCCTTCCCACGCATTCCAAGGACAGTCTCCCGGCTCCCTGCAGACTCATTTTATTTTCCAGGGGCCTGGCACTGCGCCTGCTTAGCTTGGCACTGGCCTCAGGTTCAAACACACTTTAGGGGCTGTGGAGAGATTTCTTGTGGGGGCTTGAGGGTGCCAGTGGACTGGGGCTGAAGGGCCACAGATAGGAAGGCCCTGCTGGAGAAACCCATCCCTGAGTGCTTCCCCTGGCCCTCCTACGGCTAGGACCCTCCCCCTTGCATTGATGGGGCTCTGTGGGCTGGTGCCTTCCAGAGGTGCTGGAGCAGCGGCGGCGAGAGGAGGTGAGCAAGCAGAAGCAGTGTGCACTTGCCCAGGTTATGGGCCTGGGCCCCCAGCGCTGTCACTGACTCCCCGGGGCTGGGAGGAAGGAATCTCAGGCCTGCATGCTGTCAGCCTGGCACAGGGCAGTGTAGTCATCAACACCTCCCCAGGAATTGGGACAGCAGGGTCAGGGGGACCTGTGTGGGGACAGAGTGGAACGCAGACACACAGAGGCTCCCTGTGCGGAAGGAGAAAGGTGACTTCCTGGAGCCCTGAGAATGCCCAGCTCTGGGGTACCAGGGCCAGGTGCCAGGGCTGCTAGCTCTTTCTGGAAGCTCCTCCTGCTTGGCCGGCCTGCCCTCCCACGGTGCTGAGGCTCAGCGCTGCCATCTGCTCCCCCGGGGAGGCTCAGGAAAGGGAGGGGCTGGGCGGAGAGGCTTCCTTTTGAGCTGGGCAGCACCCACCCACCCGGCTTACCTGGAGAGGGCAGGGCTGGCCCGAGGACGGCCGCCCCACTCCACACAAACCTGTGTGAGACCCAGGTCCAACAGGGGATCCCAGGCACTAACCCCCACCCCGGGCCTCGGCCAGCTGTGTTCCCCGAAGCTTTCCACGAGGCCCTCCCCACCAGGGCCAGGCCCAGGTACCCCTCAGGCGACACACAGTGTGGGTGCTGGGGTTCTAGGAAGCCACCCTCCCCTGCCCCCCGCCCCCGCCACAGCAGCGCCTTCTAGGAGGCCTGAAAGCCACCCCTCAGTCCTACACACTCACTCTCGTCAGGGTTGGGGGAGGCCAGGATGGCGCTGTGCTTCCGTTTCACCTCCTCCACGTTCTCCGAGATCTTGTCAATGAAGCCTCGGATCTCCTCCACCTGCACACCAAGGCCAGCCGGTCAGGAGGATCCAGCCGGAGGCCCGTGGGCCCTGGGCAGAGGCTGGACCAGGCTTCGGGTGGGGTGGGGGTGAGACATGGGCCCCCCACCAAGGTCTGCCAGAGTATTCGAGGACGTGGGGTGTGCTGGTTCCCACCTGTTCAAAGAACTCATCCATGAAGCCATCCCGGTCCACAGTGACAGTGACATCGTCATCATCATCGCTGTCCTTGGCCTGCACAGGGGTGTGTACACGTGAGCAAAACTCTGGTAGGCCCACAGGGTCCTGCTGGACCTAGGGCCACAAACTACCCAGCATCCACATACTGCAGGCTTGCAGGCTCAGCTCCAGGGCCCCCACTGCTGCCCTGTGTCCTCTTATCAGGGATGAGGTCTGGCTGTGCCCTCAGCTCCCAGGCACAGCGAGACCTCAAGGACCCCAGGGGACCCAGCATAAAGACAGAAGCCCTGCCTGCCGAACTGGTGATGGGGAAAGTCTCTATCTCTAGGCCAGGGACTCCTTCCCCGGCCCAGCTGCCTGCCCCCTCCCCACAGGACTGGGGTCCTCCCAGCATGCCTCTCACCCAAGGGGACAGCTGGGAAGGCTTGGTTCCCTGGCTAGGGGCCCCAACTCACAGACCTTGCCTGAGACAGGCTGCCTGAACACCAGCCCTTTCTACTTTCTGGTCCTGAAGGTTTGTTTTTTTTTTTAATTTTATTTATTCATGAGAGACACAGAGACAGAGGCTGAGACACAGAGAGAGGGAGAAGCTGGCTCCCTGCAGGGTGCCCTATATGGGACTCGATCCCAGGAACCCAGGATCATGCTCCAAGCCAAAAGCAAATGCTCAACCACTGAGCCACCCAGGTGTCCCTGGTCCCAAAGGTTTTAATTGGGATGGGGCTCAAAGTTCCCAAGCTCCCTTTGGTGGGGGGGTATGTTGGGAGTGAGAGGCCTGAGTGCCACCCACACCTGCCTCCAAAGAGGTGGGATGCTGACACAAGGGCCATCCCATTGCACCTCAAGCAGGCCTGAGAGATACTGCCTGCATGCAGCCTGCCTGTGTGCAGCTCTGCAAACTCAGCTCTCCCCCCGTCATTTTTGTTTTTTAAGTATTTTATTTATTTATTCACAAGAGACACAGAAAGAAAGAGAGGCAGAGACACAGGTAGAGAGAGAAGCAGACTCCCTACAGGGAACCCCATGCAGGACTCCATCCCGCAACTCCAGGATCATGCCCTGAGCCAAAGGCAGACACTCAACCACTGAGCCATCCAGGCATCCCTTCCTCCGTCATTTTTTTTTAATTTTTATTTTATTTTTTTATGATAGTCAGAGAGAGAGAGAGAGAGAGAGAGAGAGGCAGAGACACAGGCAGAGGGAGAAGCAGGCTCCATGCACCGGGAGCCCGACGTGGGATTCGATCCCGGGTCTCCAAGATTGCCCCCTGGGCCAAAGGCAGGCACTAAACCGCTACACCACCCAGGGATCCCTTCCTCCGTCATTCTTGACCTCAGACCTCAATTCTCTCTCTGTCCCTTCAGGCCCAGAGCTGGGCCCTGACCAGCCTGAGAGGCCAGTCATCACCTGGCTCAGAGCCTGCCCTAGGCCCCAACCCACCACCCAGGGAGAAGCCAGACAAAAGCCACCCCCATCCGGGGGCAGAGTAATCACAACACCTCCAACTTCCCAGTGTGCTGGCCAAGCTCATCCCCCATCAGCCTCACCCTCACCTGCTTGGAGTTGTGGCCGCGAGCAGCCCACCATGCTGAAAGGGCAGGGGCCAGGGTCCCAAGGGTGGGACTGTCCCCCTCAGACTGGGGTGATGAGACTTGGTCACACCCCTTCCTGTCTCAGCACCCAGGGGGAGGTCACCTGAGCAGGCTGGGCAGCCTTCACCTGGATCTCTCTTATGTCAGGGTCAGAGCCCAAAATAGGGCCCGACAGAGGCCAAGGGACCCGGCAGGCTGCTGGGGAGGGACAGGTTCTGTGCCCCGCGCAGACAGCGGCTGGCTGAGGGACCTGCCCCTGGGTCTGTCTGCTGCTGACAGCGGTGGGGACAGTGACTCCTGGCTGCAGAAGGCTAAGACGGAGTGGGAAGGCACAGCATGGTCTGTAAAGGGCTGTGCCCCTGGGGCTCTCAGGGTCCCACTGTCCCACCAGAGTGGGACCAGACAGGAGAGGGGGTTGGCTGGGAGCTTTACGGAGGCGGCTCTGACAGGCCCCTCTCATCAAGAGATCACACCTCCTCCCCCAGCAGCTAAAATAAATCCTCGCTCCCACAAGTGCCTGTGGCTGCTACCAGGTGGCCCCCTCCCCCCAGCCAGGCCCACCTATAGACAAAGAGACTCTAGAAGCCATTTCCACACTTTTGAACGTTGCCAGGCACAGGAGCTAAACTGGAGGAGGACTTGTTAGAGAAACTGAGGCAGAGTACAGTCTGGAGGAGCCCAGGGCCCCCTCTGGGGCGGCCTGCCAGCCTTCAGCAGGTTGCCCTCTCTGTCTTTTTGGGGTCTAAACAAAGATAGGGATGGACAGGAAAGGACAGAAGGAGAATTTTCCAGCTCTCCTCCCAGAAAGAGTAATGACTGGCTAGAGCCAAAGACAAGGGCATCAGAGTTTCCAGAGACGAGAGCTGTTGCCAGAGACCCCTGGGATCTGGGCTGGTGTCTCTCCCTGGGCCTCGGTTTGCCTGTCTGTAAAACAAGGACATACGTTCTCCAGCAACCAGCAGCTCCAACCTGCTCTCTGCACAGACTTCTCAGAAAACTGAGGCTGGAGTCAGGGAGTTTCTGCGAAGTCAGGGAATGGCAGGAAAGATGCCCACGGTCTCCTCCAGGACCTCCAGCAATGAGGGCAGAGCCGAGGAAGGGGACCCCTGGGCCAGGGCCTGACTGGGGCTCCCAGGTCAGGATCCACCCTGAAGGTACCATTCAGATTGACCCCAAAGTCAACTGGAGGCTTTAGGGCCTGACTTAGAGCCTCGGTCACACCAGTGGTGACTCCAAGCAAAACTCTGAGGGGATTCTCCGTGGGGACCCCTTCCTTACCAAGTCCTAGCACTTCTTCCTCCTCAGGACTTTTTACCCACTGCCCCCCTGCCCCACATCCCCTCACTGCCACAGCCTGAACCCAGACCCTGGCAAACCCCACCTATACCCATCTCCCTGCCGCTACAACCTACCTGCTGACATTCCCCTCATCCTTAGATGCCACTTCCTCCCAGAAGCCTTCCCCAGCTGCCCCAGATCAGTCTCTTGCTCCTCTGGTTTCCCACACACTATTCACATCTCTACTGACACTACAGCCACAGACTCTCAGGCCCTAAGGGACCTGAAAAGTCACCTTGGCCTCAGCTGCCAGCCTCAGCTTGCACACCCCCTGTGATGGAGAGCTCACTGCTTTCCTGGGCAGATCTGCCCACCCTGGCCTGCCTCGATTGTCCCTTTCCTGTGGCATGGCCCCACGCCATAAAGAACCTGTTGGTACCCTCTCCCTGGGATCTGAAGGCAATGTCCACACTTTCCCTGGGTTTTTCTTCTCAAGTTGACCATTCCCTTCCCCTCAGATCCCTCTCAGGGCCCTAAGTTGCAGCCCCTACCCCAGACTCGTTTGGTCCAACCATCTTCTTCTGTGGTACATGATACAAACTGAATCTACTGTTGGTTGTGCTCTAAATGGTACCAAAAAGCTGGCCATCCCCTCCCTCTTTTTACATGGTTTACCTCTGTTAATGCAACCAGAGATCAGTAAAACTGATCATGTAGTACTTCCTGTCCAGAAAAGCCCCAAGCCCTTCCCCACCAATGTCTACTTGGTTGGATTTTAGGCTCAAGCGAAGGACCTTCTTTCCTGTTTAATGTCTTCATTTGTTCTGATCCTTGTTCGGCTTTGTGAGACTCTGATGGCTCATGACTCTGTTGCCCCCTGCAACCTCATCCACATCTAGGCCAGAGCCCTATGGCACCTTTCTAGAGACATCCTCCAGGTTAAGTAAGACCCCAATCAGGTTTCACAGGACACTAAGGAAATGACAAACCCCAAGTCCAGATGCACTCCTGACCCAAAAGGAAGGAGGAACTAGGCTGGCATGCCATCTCCTAATGTCCTGGGATGGTCAGGGTGGACCACGCCAACACGCACAAAGGGGCACCCGTATGGTTTTGAATCATTAGGCCCCCAGCTCCCTTGGAAATCTGCCAGCCCTCACAGAGGGCTGGACTGGGGACCTGAGGTGGCGGCTGGAGCCTGTGGTGGTCACAAGCCCCAAGCTGTAAACATCTTCAGGATTAAGCCCCACCCCTCTGACATCATATGAGCACCCTACCAGCCACCTGGCCCAAACTGGGTTCTGCCTCCGTCTCCTGCGCCCCTCCTCTGAAACTTCCCATTCCCAAGGACTCCCTAAATCAGAAACTGGGGTATATCTACATTCTTCCTCTTGCTCTCACATCCATCCAGCATTTGACTTGTTGTGGTGTTTTCTGTTCATCCGTCAGTGGTTTCAATCCTGCTCCAGCACCATAATCCCCTGGAGGGTTTAAAGAAATCCCCCCCCTACCACCCCGCAAAGCCAGCTTCCAGGGTTCTACCCCACAGAGACCCAATCAGAATTTAGGGGTGTGGAGCTGGTAAGGCTAAGTTTTCAAAAAGCCCCCCCTGCCAACTCCACCCTGGGTTGAGAATCAGTGGTCTGATCTTACTCCTCTCTGACAGACTCTGGCCTCATGAGGCC